TTACGGCAGCTGATATTTGGAAAAGGCTGGTTACCTTGCAAAAGCATATCTCACCAAGTGCTGGTAATATCCAACCAAAGGCGCTGAAGTTGGCTATCATGAATTTGGTGTAAACTCACAGTTCTTTCAAATATGTCTGGATGAGACCAATGGAACAATGGTTTTATACGGGTAAAAATCTAATACTTAACAGGTCCCGTAGGATGGGAATGGTGAAAGTCTAAAATACATAAAAAATTGGGTTTACACCGGTTCCCGTACTGTGGAAGCATCATCATCATCATTACACGTTAGCTGGAGGTGGAAAACACCTCAGCTATTGTGCCGCAATACAAAAGGCAAGAAAAGAAAAAACAAACAAACAAACAGTGGCACGCCCGCTGAGTCCCCAGTAACGGATGGACATCGTTCCGGAGAGCTAACAGCTGGCTGCCGTAAAAGAAAGTCATATTATGCCTAACGATTGAGATCGTGATTGGAGGGGGATGCTAAACAGGAGGGGGATGGACAAAGGAACTCACAACACAAACGCCATTGGGGCCGGCTCCTAGCCATATCAGCAAGTGTGTCCAGCCAAACGTGTTCACCGTCCTTAGGACCCCAGCCAGGCAGTCGGGATGCACCAACCGACGCCAACTTCGAAGTGAGGGTTTTCATTTCTCGCGACCAAGTCATCACTTGGCCTCCCCTCCTCCTCTTCCAATCGCACCCACAACGCGCAAACAATGCATGTCGTGGGAGTCGGTGTGCTGGCATGCGCAATACGTGGCCAAGCCATCGGAGCCTGGTGCGTGATATAATCGTGCTGAGCGGTTCACTCGCTCTTCCTGCACCAAATACACGACGTCGAACACGCTCATTGCTCACGCGGTGTTCCCACCAGACATGATCTAAGCTGCGAAGGCAGCGATGATCGAACGTGACGAGTCTCTTCATGTCTGTCGACCTGATGGGCCAGGTTTCACAGCCATATAGGAGAGTTGAACGGACGGCTGCGTTGTAAACTCTGCCCTTGAGGGCGAGAGTAATGTCGCGTCTGCGCCACAGGTGGCGGAGATTGGCAAAAGCACCTCGAGCTTTTGCTATACGGTTCGTAACCTCATCTTCAATCCCACGGGTGCTAATATAGCTGCCCAGGTACTTAAATTCCTGAACGACTTCTAGCAGATCACCACCAAGCGTTAGCGCAGGATTGGGTCCCTGCCAATCTTGGAGAAGTACTTTGCATTTTGATGGAGCAAAGCATAGCCCAAAACGACTGACAGCCAGTGCTAATCGGTTCAGTGCTGTTTGGCATGTTTGGGAGCCGTCACAGATTAGGGCAATATCGTCTGCATACTCCAAGTCAAGAAGTCGCTCACCAGGGAGTAGCTCCACACCTTCTAGGTCGTGTCCAGCGAACGCTGTTTCCATGACTTCATCAATAGCGAAGTTGAAGAGGAAAGGTGACAGCGGGCATCCTTGTCTCACACCGCTGGTGATACTGAAGGGTGGCGAGAGTTGGACATAAACCCTCACCCTGCTTGAACTATGTGCGTACAGCGCTTTGATAATGTTTACATATTTATCAGGCACACCTTTCCTCAACAGACAGTCCCAAAGGGCACATCGATCGACTGAGTCGAAGGCACCTTTTATGTCAAGAAACACGACAACGGTGGGTCGCCAATAAACATGGCGGTGCTCCAACACTTGACGCAATGTGAAGATGTGGTCGATGCAGCCCCGACCTCGACGAAATCCGGCTTGCTCTTCACGAATTTGGCTTTCACGAGTGCCAGTCAGTCTGTGGAGAATGAGAGAGGCAAGCAATTTAGAGGCAATCGAAATCAGACTGATCCCTCTATGATTGCCACATACCAAACGGGAGTCTCCCTTGAAAATTGGGACAATGACGGATCGGTTCCAGTCTGTCGGGACTGTCTCCTGCTCCCAAAGTTTTACTAGCAACTCGTGTAGATCACCTATTAGAGCAGGTCCACCGAACTTGAAGAGGGCTGGAGGAATAGTATCTGCTCCTGCGGCCTTATGCAATTTCAACAGCCTGATCTCACGTTCGACTTCAGCGCGTGAGGGCGGATCCAAGGAGACGGCCCAAGGAGAAGGGCGCTCAATGCCCGAAGAAAGTGATAACTCAGGTTGGTTAAATTGCATAGCAAAGTGTTCAGCCCAACGCTCCAAGCGTTTTGACAGGCTTTGGATCATCTGCCCACTCTTGTCGCGTATGGTCTCGCTAACACCAGGTCTCCTGCTGCCTGTTGCCCGTATCAGACGGTATAACTTACGATGATTACCAATGGCAGCGGCTGTTTCCATCTCAGATGCACGATGAGACCACCAGGTTTCGCGGTCCTTCTTTAGGCTAGCACGTAGTTTCGCCCTGAGATTTTTGCGAGATTCACTGTATTCGCTTCCAGCCGGAATACGTCGGCGAGCATCCATAAGTTCCAGTACTGTGGAAGCACGGAATCGTCACCCCCTTTAACGAAGGGGGGAGGGAAGTTGTGCACATCCGGCCAAGTACTCATTTCTGCTGCTTTCCAAAGTCATAGAGGCCATTAGAGCCAAAGCGCTCATGAGTTAATTAGGAAGACACAGTCACAGCACCAGAACAACCTGGAATCCGGTAGAACCGATCTTACACCACAAATTTGCTAGTTGCTCGCTACAGTCGAACTGAAATCGTCGACAGCGTTGTGGGAGTTGACGTAGTTTATCGGGACTTCTTGAAATTGATTGAACGTCTGAACCACCGCATCCTCCTTCGCAGGCTTATGAGCTGTGGACTTGATGGTGCAGTCCTTGGTTGGATGGACAACTTCCTGAATGTGAGAGTTCCCAGCGCCATCTCTGAGCACATCGAAGTGGTGCGGAATGCCAGAGGGCTCAGTACTTGGTCGACGCCTATTCGATAGTTACACAAACGATATCGCGAAAGTAATCACTTCCAACTTCATAATCTTCGCTGATGATCTCAAGATATGGCGAGCCAACAAAACAACAGGTGACCACGTAGCATTGCGGAGTGACCTTGATAGGGTATACTGGAAAGAGACTCAGAATCGGCTACGTTGCAACGCCACTATGGGTAAAACATTAAGCATGCGCCGTCAATCCATTTGCGATTACATGCAGGGGGGTCAAGATATTCAGCGCGATTTTAGTGAATGCGACTTAAGATGTGACGGTACAGGACGATTTTGGATGCTGACTTCAAGCCGAGAAAACATAAAAACAGCCAAACAACACTTTGTCCTACTGCGGAGGGCATTCGGGTGCTATGACCATTCCATCTTTCATTAGATGCTCAATGCCTACATTAGACCCCATTTGGAATATGCCATCCAAGTCTGGCAGCCTTGGCACAAGCATGACCACGTCGCAGTTGAAATGTCACAACGAAGGCGACCAAGGAAGTAAAGGGTCTGTTCCATCTCCCTTACCGACTAAGTATGAAAACCCTTGGGGTCTACAGTGGACAATACCGACGCCTGCGTGACGTTTGATAGTGACATATCAGATACTGAGGACCTGTGGAAGAGCTGTAAGCTATCGAGCGCGTCCCCAGGTTGCGGATTGGTGAATGCCTTCCTTGGGAAGGTAACTGCGAATAAGTCTTGTTTGCTTTTCAGGCGAGATGAATAAGCAGTCGCAGACAATCAGCTGCAGCGTCTCAGAGCGTGGGGTATTCAGGGCTGGTCACCTGGCTCTCTGTCAAATAATACCAGAGCTCGTACGGGGCTGTGTCAAAGTGAATGTGATCCGTTATAGGGTCACTGACCACGTACTTCTGTAACCAGAGGTGAGTACCTAGCGGAGAGTGGATGAACACCTTTGCTGGCCATCCACTTCTGTGTGGACTGCAACCGAACACAAAGAAGGGGAATGAGCCACCTGTCTGTCAACGATTTTCGTATCCAGCAATTTGAGTGAAGCGCACCACTGTCTTGCGAGTCAGGTTCTGATGATCAAAGGCTCGGGGGGGGGGGCCTTAAATGAATCCCCTTTGCTTGGTCCGGGCAACCGGGAAACTGTCTGTCCACACAACACATAAACCCACCTAAGCCTTCCACTGAATGAATGTTGTCACTGTTTTTGTTGTTGTTTCCCATGTGTTGTGCCACAATGCCAAATGTAAACTGATCAAATGTTGAATAATAATAATAATAACAACGATATTATTATTATTATAATAAATACTGAGGAATCCCAAGCATGCCTGTCGTAACTCGCTGAAAAAGAACAACAATATCAACCTGCCAGGTCAACTGCTAAAGCCCGCCACACAGTAAATACGGTTGGAGTGCGGTCGGAATTTCTTTTCGTTTTGTGTAGCACGCTCTCCCACTTACGTTGTTTATTTCCACCCCCACACACTATATAGCTCTTTCTGATTACATATCAACAAGAAACAACCAATCAACATCGTTAGTATAACATTCTGGGGAGTCCACAAAATATTCGTTTTTTAACTGACACCACTTTGTTTTCCGAACTATCCATCATCCAATGGGACATGCCAAGCTTTAGCCTCTTTTACCCATATTTTGATAGCAGACGATGTACTGCGGTGTCACGCGCATGCAGATGGTAGAATCGCAGCTGCCGTCACAATGGGCGATACCTAAAGAATATTAGCGACATGGATTGGGAGGATTGTACGAGAGAGGGGTGGAAAAGATCGGTGTAGGAAGTGGCATATTGCCACTTATCCGCCCAGCTGTGCGTAGTAAGTAGAGATGACCCTGTTAGAACAGCAATAACCAGGGCTGGATGTGGCTGGTGTCCGAGAAATGCATGGGCTGGATATTACTAAGGTACCCAAATGTAGGCAATAGCAGGTGCGACAGTTGACAGATAATGAAGGAATTTGCCAGTTTAGCTGTGCAGTAGACTGCTCAGTGGACTGGACAACTAGAGGAGATCAACGGGCTGATTAGTGAATACAATCAACGATGGTGCAGGCCTATTTCAGGAAAAAGATGTCAACCGATGCTCACTTCTGCGTAGCGCTGACAGTACAGATGGTTGTGAGGGCTGGACAGTAGCATCTCTTCGAGACAAAAAGCAGCATGCTTGAAATCCCCCTCTGCCAGATAGAGATCAGCAAGTTCATTCCAAGCCTCAAAATCACTCATGAAACTGAAAAAAAGAACAAAGAAGTTGGGAATGTCAAAAGCTACACCGTGTGTAACTGTTACAAGAAAGCATTATTCGGATGGTTAATTTTCACGAAACACACTGCACCAAACAAAGGGATGGGGGAAAACACCCATAGTACGGGTAAGGAGATCGTTTTCGATGCTAATGAACGAACAAACAACGGATCAGACAACTTTCGCTACCGAGTGGAAAAATAAGTGCGCTTAAGTTGGTGGGAAGACAGCTGTGGTTTTAAGCAGCGCCTGTGAATCACCGCCATACAAAGCAATGTGCTCTGGTACACAGTGGAGACAGGACCAATGTATCTGAATGTGCGCACTTGGCCATCACTAAAGCCGCCGAAAAAGACGGAAACTCACATTGACATCGAACACTTGTAGTGAAAAGATGAATCTCCCGCAGTGACCACATAAAGCAAGGTATCTCGTGCTTTTTAAGATGTAGGGGGAAGAGCAAAGTATCTCCTCAGAGAGATTGGTTGTTATGTGAGCCGAAAACAGATGAGCTGTCACAGATCAACCGTTTCTAAAGTATTGGCATTCATCGCGCTCTGCAAGCCACCATACGCTTGTAAAGCGCAGAACGAACAGGAGTGGAGTTCGACTCGGTCGCTGTGTTTAGTTTGTCAAACTATCTGTTACATCGCCGAGCTGTCGAAAATCCTAAGCCAGATAATTTGTGTAGCAGATAGAGTGAAGGCTCACGGCTGATACTCATTGCGAGTCGTCGTTTCGCGCGGTGTATGATAGCAACATCCTATGTCGCAGTGCCTTATCAAATTTGCGATCGCATATCCTGCGCTATGGGCAATTCTGAAAGTCTCATCGGAAACTTCCATCGATGAACCAACTGATACTACCCCGTGTAGTCACGACTGTCAGCGATTAAAGCCGTTAACTATGTTCCTATCTGACTGACAAACCATTGCTCCATTACTTGTTATCGGCTGCCGAGGAGTACAATATTGAGTGTAAGCAAGAGAAACAACTGCACCGATTCATCAGCCTGTGGAGCTGTCTTCGCTGGCATCATCACTGGGAAAGATGTTTGCTTTTGCATGGGAAAAGGTGTCAGTTTTCACCAACCCGGAAGCCCGATGGTATTGTTGTAAGACTGCTATGGCTACCGTTCATGTATGGATGCGAACTGTGACCGACTGACGTGGATGACATGTGCTGTTACGGAATTTGATAATTGGTGTACGCAGATATTCGAGTGCAGCGGCGATGGCGAAGTTAGACGTCGCTAAGTCGGTCTAACTAGGCCAAACAGCTGAGGTAGAAATGTGTCATGCGAACTGCCACTGCCATACGTTGACTTTCCCCACTGAGAATGCATTACAGCTGCCCCATAAATTAACATCAAAGTATGAAATTGCTGGCTTCTTCTGTAGCTGGCGGCAGCATCGTGCGTTTTCCTTGCTGGTGACGCAAGGACGAACGGGGCCGATGGCTCAAAACGTGTGAAGAGGTGATGTGAATCAACAGTACCTTGTGCGATTGCGATGAGTTTGGTTATTGATACAGTTAGGCATGTAAGTTCGGAAAGTGTCAAAGCGAATAAAAAACGAGGTATCAAAAAGGGGAACATGTTTAAACATAGCTCTACACTTCACTTCTAAGTCAAATGAATCCATAGATATTTCTGTATACCATAAAAGCAATGGAGCTAAATATGTATAGCAGCGTGCTTCAGTTTAAGATAATGTGGTAAAGATAAGGTGTCAGCAGTACGCCGGTACGCAGGATAGACGCTTCGTTACCGCGCAGCCACCAACAGTCACGCGTAAGCTAAAGATACTGCGAGGGTCACCGGGTCCCTACGGAGACCTACACGAACATGCACTCTCGGACTACAAGGCAGGCTTGTGATCCATTAGGCTACAGACCAGCGAGATAATTTGGTGAGGGATCATAGTGGTTTTAGAGGTTAGAAAGTACCAACTGAAGACTGTCAGGGCGGATACGTATTTCGTGTGTTTCAGATACAATAAACGCATCAGCGAAAAAATGCAAACAAGGTCAGCAAAGGGCTCACGTTTTCAGATAATTCCTGAGTTCATCAATGGCTTCAATATTTCGTTTCTGGGACTTGAAAATGGCGACTTTACGCCTACGGACAAACTGACATAAATAGAAGTAAGTACATTGGTGATTATAATTATGATGAGGGAATGTAAAAGTAACTAGCTCCAAACAGTTCGAAAGTGACAGCAAAGTAAGGTGGCTTGAAGCACTACCCGAGGAAGACAGGGAAAAGCTGCAGAGAATTTGTGAAATAAATGATCCTTGGCTTCACACCAAAGTGAGTAGACAGATAGCCTAGGTACTCTATCAGCAGATGGTGGAATTCTCTAAAATATGGCATTGTGAAACTCTTAATCGCTGTCTATGAGATGATGACTATGGTCGGCAAAAGTCAACTTGCACAATAAGTGATGTGCAAAGGAAGATGTAAGAACAAAACAGGAGTACGTGTACAATCTGCGAAGCAAACTACGTTAATTGCCCGCGGGGGAGGCGTTATACAGCGGCCAACTGAGCTCAAGAGTTGCCTTGTCACTGTATACCTATCGGTAGGTGACCTTAAATCGAACAACAGCACTTGCATATCGGGGTGATGTATTCTCCGTGAGCCAACATCGATTTGCGATGTCTAGTGATAGTACGAAATCATCATCGTCCGCCGAGATCGCATGCGAAGGAAAGCACAGGGTCCTAATGGCATTCTTAGACCGACAATCGATGCCGTTACACAATGTGTGATGGATCTAGCTCATGAAGTCAAATGGTTGGTTTCCTCCATCCTGATTGTTTTAGCCGCATAGTTTTCTCCGGTTGCGATATATACCAAACCAACTGAACTGAGCCAACTTGGGTACAATTGGAGCCGAAAAGAGGTAACAAACGCTACATCCCTACACAGGTAGCACAGATTAGAAGCTATTCAGTCGAGGGAAGCAAACACCGCAATCCGAAGGACAACTAATAGGTAAACCCTAAAGTAACATGACCAACGTGACTCACGGTGTTTGTGGGATCGTCTTTCAGTACTTGCGCATAAACACTCTGTGCGTCCTCAAACCTGTTGGAAAGTTTACGTCAGATACAGCAAAATGAGAGAGAGACAGTAGAGCATAATTCAACGTTCAGAACAAGGTTGAAAAGTGACATACCTGCCAGTTGCCTCCAAGTACATGCCAAACAGACGGTTGATCCGAGAACTCTTTTTAAAGTGAGCCCGTAACTGACCCAGACACTCCTGAAAATGAAACGACGGCAAGTGCAGAAAAGTCATCGAGCAATGGAAGTGCGATCAGTGGGGGATACGGTGACTAAGAAGTTGACACAGGGTAATGTAGATAGAATTGACAACCAAAAACGATATTACTCTATTTCCCGGCAAGTAATCCGGCTGGTAGTCTGATGCGGATTCTGGCATACCTGTTAAGGAAAAAGTTCGCAAACTTTCTGATCTTGGACCTGCATTATGCCACTGAGTTATCTTCACAACACATGAAATAAATAAAATGAGTAGCGGCATGCAGATCCTAGACCAACAAATCTGCGAACTTTCTCTTAAGAGGTATGTCAGAATCTGGAACAAGCAAACGGCCGGAGTAGGTGTCTGCAACCGTGAGCACGAATTTCGCAAACGCATCACAGGTCCTTAACTATACAAAGTGTGAATAAGCTATTCGGATATGCCGTAACCACAAGCCAAGTACAAGAGCAGGATCCAGGTATTATATAGCACAGTACTTGGTTTACCATCACGTGAGCTAGCTGGTTTATAATAATGTATATGAGAGGGCGATTGCAGGTCAGCCAACAGAAATCCATTTGAATCAACTATATTGTGTTTCATCGTTTTTCTTCCAAAATGTCAATAACTAATCAGATTTAGAATCTAACTGACATATCAGTGATCAGCGCTCTATACAAGTATGCGCTTACCCGATCATACCGAAACAGGAACGTGTTACATCGTCAAGAATGAAAGTTTATTCAGTTAGTTAAGACAGAAGGATCCAACTAGCGTTCGGGGCTTGAAATTGTGGCTTCGTGACAATTGTGTCCACAGAGTGTTAAAAAATGCTATACCGAAATATAAGGACTACAAAAATCAAAAGATCACAAGGTGTACGAAAGTGAAAGATGCGCGGACTGCTCAGACGATGATGGTTATTGGAGGAGTTTGACGGAGGATAGCCGAGAAGATGGAGGTGTCACAAGTAAAATAGCAAGATGAGGTTATTTGATCACGAGGGAAATACGGTGGAAAGTCATATGGGGGCTATTGGAAATGCCCCAGTTTACTTAGGTACTCAGCCTCTTGACATTTCTCCTTTCATGAACTTGGAGATGGGATTGACAGCAATTGAAGCTACCCAGCCTCCGCATGCAGCACATGCTCGTTCGACTGAACTGGAATGAACCAGTGGGGAAATTGCTGACTGGGACATCCAAAACGATTTGGTAGTCAAACGAAAGAGAGGCTATGGTGAAAATCGCTTTTCGAATACAAAGATGCACAATTAAATGGAAGCGACACCCTAAACGAGCCTATCGCTTTCAATATTGATGTGATCTTATTTTCAAAGGTGAAACGCAAAAGAAAGGTGTCAAGCACCACAAATCTCTGGTTTAAAAGAAGACCCACCAAAAGGAACTCACACAGGCAAGCTGATCATCTCCAACGTCCAAGGCGGCAATGAAAACTTGCTCCATTATGACCCACTCTGCAGGTGAAAAACGCGGTGTACAAGTAAAATGGAGAGACGGGAGTTCGAACGTGAATGGATACAAGAAAGTGGTCATAAATGCTTATTCTAATCGTGAAAACATCTTAGATAGATAACAGAGTATTGACCACACTTAAGTATGCTTCACATTTAACACAATCCGTCTCTTTGTGGGCACGGACCCTCGGTAGCAGGAGAAACATAAGGAAAAACGAAACATTGTGTGTGGGAGACAAGGAATAAAAACAAGACACTCAGCGTAAAGGTGATAATGAGTTCCTCAATGTGTCAAATAGTCACGATACTTAAACACCGACGTGTAGCGTTCTGAATGGTACATCTAGAAAAAAGTAAGTGCTAACAGTATGGCCTCTTGAATTCGATCATGCTCTTCTCCTCTTCTGCGGCATTACCACCTGCACTCATGTATTGGACTACATTTTGTGAGTGTTTTGATTGCATCCATAGACATTAGTATTTACGTACTGTGACCAGTTAATGACCTACACCAACTTCTGCGTTGATACCTTCTGTGGGTTGGAAACTGTTTTATTTGTGCAGGTTGGTTTTTATATCCATGCTTGAAACGTTTGCGTAGACGCAGCGAAAGTGTTCAAAAGAAAAGACCACGCAGCAGTTAAATCTAGTCCTATTTATATCAGGTAAACTTGCGCCGTCTAAACCACCTATGCGTTCAGATCATACACGGAAATAAAAGCTGTCGGGAGGTATGATGGATGCGGAAACAACTTGGTAGTCTCACCAAGTGTGGAATCCAGAGGTGGACATTGATGAACTGAACAGCAACTTTTGTTGCTTTAATGCTAACTCCACTTTCTACCCCTTGCTCCTCCCGAATGGACAGTCCTACAACCTCTTTATCTGTCACTAACAGAAATAGAGCAATTTATCTGCAGCTAAATTCCAACAAAGCAAGTTGCCCGTATGGAGTATCTCACGTTGTCCTCAAGGTGTGTGTGTGTGTGTGTGTGTGTGTGTAGTTGGCCCAGCCCCTTGCTGACTGTTGGAGAAGTGCTAGGATTACACCAGGACCAAAGAAAGTGTTGAATGAAGACCGGCAAATTGCCTGCACCTCAGTAAATTTGAATAACTTCAAGATGATAATCCTTGAAAATGTGCAGACAAACACATTCTGATGATCCGCTCCAGTTTGCTTATCGTAGTTCGAGGCCTACTCAAGACGCATTAACCTATACTGTACATTCCAGTGCCGGCTTCACTAGGAAACTAGATCGAATCTGCGCGAATATGTTCTCTCGACCAGAGTAATGCTGTCAGCATTGTAAACCGTGAGAATCTTTGAGGGGCCTACATGATGCCGGAATTCAACCTCACAACGTCCAGCTGCTGAGGGATTATTTCGCAGGACGTGCCCAGTTTACTCGACAAGGAGGCAGAAGTTCCTGGCTGCTCACCATAGCCACCGGAGCTCTTTAAGAAGTCAAACTGTCTCCATACCCCTATTCAACTTACGCCGCCTGAGTATCCATCCCTGATGAAGCGGTACTGCTGAGATACACAGACAATGTGGCCCTGGGTAATCTACCACCCCAACGTCATCAAGCAAACTACAATACAGGCTGGACAACCTTGTATTGTGGTCCAGAGCGCAACTATTATCGTTGAATGCAGTAAAATGCAATGACGTTCTTTTTCCCTACACAAAAAATGTTAACAGCAACTTCGCATAGATTGTCCTGAACTTCACATGGATGGCGAGATGTTGTACTCCATATTGTCAGTGAAGAATTTAAGTGTCACATTCAGCCGTAATCTTGCTTGGTCACTCCAAGTGATTGAAGTTTTCACAAAAGTGAGTAGGCTTTCTTACTACGCTGCTAGTTTGTAACCCCCTCTGTCCCCCGCTAGTTAATACTGCGATTTATCACCGCTTGTGCCGTACCCCGGAGGACCTATTGCCCTCCTGTGACATTTCGAGTTTCGTAAGGAAGCCCTACAAAATCCTAGATAGATGACTGGTGTATTTGTCACGATGTATTGGATTACGAAGCCAACCTTTGTTGAGATTATTGTATTTACCTATACCGATTCAAGCAAAAAGCTTTCTTTAAAAATACTGCCCGATGCAAATCATGTTCGTCATGGTACACTCTGTGACTGTGTGGCAACTTCCTCAACCAGACAAAAGTATAAGTCTATTTATGCTCTTACAAGCGCTTACCACTTACCCGTAATTCCCTAGTGGGCACGTATCTTGTGCAACCAGGCCTCAGTTGTTATGGAGTTTTCAAGCAAGTTTGCGTTTTAACCATATTGCTGGCGTTGCTTACTAAAGAACGGGGTGCCAGAGAAATATATCGCCATCTTACGAGCACTTTACCTTCACACATCCGGCAGAGTGAGGGTCTATGGCAAGCTTTCCTCGCAATTCACTGTCAATAGCGGTGTGCGACAGGGCTGCCCTATGTCCCCATTCCTCTTCAACTTCGCAATCGAAGATGTTCTGTCGAATGCCCTAGAAGGTTTCCAACATTTTGGCCTAGAGCTTCTACCGGGTGAGCGCGCGACCGACTTAGATTATGCTGATGATATCGCCTTACTTGGTGACGATCCTCAGGGTATGCAACTCATTCTGGATCGTTTGGCGGTTGAAGCATCTAAGTATGGCATGAGCTTCGCCCCATCGAAGTGTAAAGTACTGCTCAAGGATTGGCTTTCACCTGCACCCGTGCTCACTCTCCAAGGTGCACAACTTGAACAGGTAGATAGTTTCGTCTACCTTGGGAGCTGTTTCCGCTGACGGCACAATCAACAAAGAAGTTTCGCTTCGTATGGCTAAAGCTCGATCAGCATTTATCAATCTGAGGCAGTTGTGGCGTCGTCGCGACGTCTCATTCTCACTAAAGGGCCGAGTTTACAGCGCGTCCGTTCGCTCAGTATTGTTGTACGGGAGCGAGTCCTGGCCCATTCGCGTGGAAGACATGCGTCGTCTTTCTGCGTTCGATAACGGTTGCTTAAGGAGGATCGCTCGTGTTCGGTGGCAACATCGAGTTACCAGTAATGACGTTCGACGTCGCGTCTTGGGGAATGCAAGTATTTCCTTCAACAAACTGGTTTTGTTGCGCCAGTTAAGATGGCTCGGTCATGTCCTACGCATGGCACCTGAGCGTCTACCGCGTCGCGCTCTATTCGCTCGTCAAGGACCTGGCTGGAAGCGACCGCGTGGTGGTCAGCCTTCCACTTGGCGGCAGCACATGAAATCGCTGACGTCGTGTCTAGCCGCTGTTGGACCCGTACGTCTTCCAGGATGGCGAGTGCCAATGGCTTAGGACACTTGAAGACATGGCCCGCAACCGGAATCAATGGAAGAATTGTGTACAGTGTTGTGTTGATTCACATGTTTAATTCTACAAAAATTGAAAATGACAAAAAAAGAGAAAAACCGGCGTGTGACAAACAAACTAAAAATGTTTTGTTCTGTATTTTTGTCAAAATATTCCATTTTCTTGCGGCATATTAGCTGAAGCGTGTTGCCCACCTTCAGCTAGCATGCCATGACGATTATGACGCAATGACTGTCTCTTATACACTGATTTCCATGGTTTTCTTGGTTCTATGTCTAGTTACTAGACTGTTGAGATTACTACTACTACTACTACTACTACTACTACTACTACTACTACTACTACTACTACTACTGTCTATTGCCACTTGGTAACCTACTTGTGTATTCACTGTTTTAATTTTTATTCCTTTGACAATGCTGAAAGGTGTGTGTAATCACTGAATACTTACTCATCAGATTGCATAAAGCACTTTCGTGAGCTAAATTTGATCATTCATGCCACGTTACTAATACCGACTGGCCACAGAGAAGTATTGCCCAACCAAGTGTGGGGTAGATAAGCAAAGATGTCCGGGTGGAGGAGCGACGTGCATGCAAAGAATTCGGAATGGACAGTATCCATTCAACAGGTGGTCCGATATGGCACCACACAAGGTGCTACCAAATGCCAACAAACGGATCTAACCTATACTCGAGCGATGTCCCTATGCGATTTAGGCGACATATTTGCGGGCACTGGTCAGAAAGGTTAACATCCACAGCCTCCTTTCTCTGAGCACTATTGCCGCCGAGAACGCCAAGAGCAACGACAACAGAAAGTTGCTGTTTCATCAAAAATCTTCTAACACATTAGTAAAGGAACAACGTCAGACATAGATCCGAGATAAGAGAAATAAAGTGGAGCCAAAAGTATGGTTTAAAAGAATTCAAACAACTGAACTTCACATCATGATATGATGACATTGATGAGACGGTGGCCACACGGTTTTCGTTACCTAGGGTCATAGTCAAGCTTTATCAGCAAGTAACCAGGTAACACACATAGTTTGGACCCATAGTCTACCTAAACAGTAGGAAACATTCTAAAGGTGCATGTTGTGAGCGGTTCGTTTGCGATCAAAACACAGCAAAACATATAAACGAGCGAGTCAAATCCAGTCCATATATCTTGAAAGAAAATCACGGCGGGCTTTTGGTACAGCTGAGGACATTCGAGCAGATTAAATCCGGACGCTTTCGGCAGGGTAGGGGCCCAACTTGCGGCTTATGGGAATGTGGTAATCAACATAACAAAACAGATATAAGTAACAGAGACGTGGATGGCGTGAGAATGATGTGCTAGTTCTCGGTGTCTGCAATGCGAGAGGGGGCTTACTATTTGCACAAAAGTATAGAAAATGAATACACAAATTGACTTAAGGTTGCTAAACGGCCACACATTAGCTAATTTCGATAAAGATTTGCAGAGACGAATGGTTGTTCAAAGCGATGGCACACACTAAGCAGACGGCAGGCAAGAGCACCGGCGGTAGGGCCCCGCGGAAGTAGCACGGTACGAATGCCGCGAGGAGGAGCGCATCAACCACTGGTGGCGTGAAGAAGCCCCATAAGTACAGGTCTGGCACCGTCGCATTACGGGAAATCCGACGCTACCAGAAGTCAAGGAAGT